AACCAGGCCCACTTAGATATTAGGTTAGTACAATAAAATTATAATTATTCTTAATATATATATATTATAATTGTAATAATTATCCAAAGTGACTCAAAATTACTATCTTATCCCTTCATGATGTCTATAAATAGAAGTGAAGTGGAGAAGGAAAGGGAATTTAACATAACACTGAAGCTCCGAACTCCGCACACATTCACCACTTAAAGCTTTGAAAACTCAACACTCTGAAACTTTGAATACAAAGAATCATAAGCACGTTTTACAAGTGTCGACCCTATTAAAAGACTTTCATTTAACCGTTTGAAATTAAGTTTCTATAATGCTCAATCTAAAATCAATCCAAGTTTCTTTCATTTATTGGAGATTTGAGGAAAGTTCGTTGCAAACGATTCAACATCAAATATTGAAACATTTGCACCGAAGATTTAGAAGATCGGATCAAAGGACTTTCTTTCTTTATAAAGAATATTACAGAGAATGGTACTCACTTATCAAATATTAATAAAAATTGATTATTTATTCCATTATTTCTATTCTTTTATTGTGGATCAGAGGACTTTCTTTCTTTATAAAGAATATTAAGAGAATGGTACTCACTTGTCAAATATTAATAAAAATTGATTATTTGTTCCACTATTTCTATTCTTTTATTGTAGATTGAGAAATTTATATGTACAGAAATCATCACAAACAAATTTCACAAAACTTGAAAAGAATTGACAATTTGATAGATAAAATCATTTTTGTCATTCTTCAAGTGAAAATTCTAAGACAGTGTTTTAGACAGATGTAACAACATATGTGTGTGTGTGTGTGCGCGCGTGCGCGCGCAGAGAGAAAGGAGTCTAGAATCAAGATCAACTTAAAACTGGAAAACCCAATTACACAATCACCAAATAAATAAATAAATAAAAAGTCAGTATATTAAATATCTTGAATATGGGATGGCCGATCATCCCACTTAGAGGTGATAATTTATACCCAAATTCATTAAACTGTCCAAACTTGCCCATTACAATTAAATTATTTGGGTACCCAATTTAATTAAATGGGTAAAAAATAAGTACCCATTATAATTAATGGGTGAATAATTACCAATGAGCCAGTCATCTAGTGGTATCAAGCCCTTACTTCCTAAATGGAAGTCAAAGATTCAAGCATCCATGGAAGCATGTGTGTGAGTGAGTATCAACTATGAAAAATAAATGGGTGAATAATTGGTTAAGATGAGTACCCAACTTAACCCACTTAACAAAATCTTAAAACTGAGACCTGCTCGTCAAACACCCCCCCTTCTCTCTCTCTTTCTGTGTACGTTCACCCCCAAAGTTAACAAACCCTAGCTCCCTTTAATGCATCAATCAGTTTTGTAGGTTGTTTAAGAAACTTATAGCAGAAGAAGTTCTTCGATTGAGATTCATTTTTGCACGTATTCAATTGATGGTAAGACTCTCTCTCTCTATATATATATATATATATATATATTGATAAGGATAAAAATAATAGGCAACTCAAAGTCAAAAGAGATATAAGATAAGGGTAAGGGATTTATCTTACCCAAAATCTCTATGAAATCATAAAAAAATATCTGGTTACCATATGTAACCAGAGTTACCATTCCTGTAAAAAGGGAACAATATCATCTTGGATCAGGGAGAATCTCGCTTCAACAACTACTACCTCTATAAAAGAAATGATCAGTCAACCTAAAAAGGTACGCCATAAATTTCATATGAAATCCTTATTGGATATTTTAATCGTTGAGTACTAACTTGATCGTCGGAGTGCACCCGGCCGGCACCACGCCGGTCATCACTTCTCTTGTCTTGCAGGAATCTTCACGCTCCGAAACCGGGTGCACTCCGACGGTCAAGTTAGTACTCGACGATTAAAATATCCAATAAGGATTCCATATGAAATTCATGGCGTACCTTTTTAGGTTGACTGATCATTCCTTTTTAAAGGGCTAGTTGAATGAAGCTCGTAATTGTCATCCCCGTATTATAAGGGATTAATATAAAAGTGCCTCGTACTATAAGGGCCCGAACTAAATGAAGCTCGTAATTGTTGTCCTCTATATTAAAAGGGGTCAAAATCAACTTGTAAAATATACTTCCCTTTTTAAAGGGTGAGCTGAGTGAAGCTCGTAAAATATATTTTCCTTTTTAAAGGGCGAGTTGAATGAAGCTCGTAATTACCATCCCGGTATTATAAAGGATTGATATAAAAGTGCTCCGTACTATAAGGGCCCGAGCTAAATCGTAATTGTTGTCCTCCGTAATAAAAGGGGTCGAAATCAACTTGTAAAATATACTTTCCTTTTTAAAGGGCGAGCTGAGTGAAACTCGTAAAATATATTTTCCTTTTTAAGGAGGTGAACTGAGTAAAACTCGTAAATATACTTCCCTTTTTTAAAAGGTAAGCTCATTCGGCTTAAGAAAGCCTACTCCCCCAGCTCATGAAGTTCAGGCAAATCTTAAGAGATCAACCAAAAAAAGGCCGCCTAACAAGGGTTAACCTAAAAAGAGATTGATTTATGCCAAATAGACGTCACTCCAAAAAAATACTCTGACATTCTCGATGCTTGACAAGTAAGCACGAGAATAGGGGGCAACTGATAAGGATAAAAATAATAGGCAACTCAAAGTTAAAAGAGAAATAAGATAAGGGTAAGGGATTTATCTTACCCAAAATCTCTATGAAATCATAAAAAATATCTGGTTACCATATGTAACCAGAGTTACCATTCCTGTAAAAAGTGAACAATATCATCTTGGATCAGGGAGAATCTCGCTTCAACAACTACTACCTCTATAAAAGAAATGATCAGTCAACCTAAAAAGGTACGCCATAAATTTCATATGGAATCCTTATTGGATATTTTAATCGTCGAGTACTAACTTGACCGTCGGAGTGCACCCGGCCGGCACCACGCCGGTCATCACTTCTCTTGTCTTGCAGGAATCTTCACGAGCTCCGGAGCGTGTAGATTTTTGGCATCAACATATATAACCCACCAAGAGTTCAAACTCTCCTCACTCTCTTTCTCACACTCTCACGCTATATTCGTATCCGATTATTCATATTTGGGTTCTCTGTTGAAGCTCTATTTGATTATTTCATATTGTAAATTGGAATGTGGAGCTAAATAATTCAGCAAAAGAAAATTTGAGATTTGTTGATGGCAAGAACAATGGCATGATTGTTTATTTGAAGTTTGCTTAAGGAATGCTAAATTTGGGTAGTAAGATGGATTTGCTGAATTTGGAGGCTGCTTGTTTCTTATCAAATTAAATTAGATTAATATTTCTTATTACAATGTTTTGATTTTAGCTTGTCATTTTGAGAGGAAAAAAAAAATAAATTGAAACCTTGTCATTTTGAATTTGCTTTTTCAATATCACATCTTCACATGTTTGTGTTTTCATAGGCAAAAGATGCACTCGAAAAAAAAAGAGGGTCGAAATGAGTTGACCCGCTTATAACCGGCCCATTTGAGCTTTGACCCATTCATGACCCACCATTGGTGGGTTGATAATGGATTATTAGCCCATTCATGAACAGCTCATTCAATACCCGCCCAAAACCCACCCAATTACCACCCTTAGAGGGTGACAGTGGCGCTGATTCCGTTGTTGGAAAAGACATAAGAAAGATGAAAGAAAAAATATTTGGCATATAAATGAAATTAATCTTCATAATGAGATATAAACGAACACATATATACCAATTGGGTTTTGCTATGAGAATGGAGGAGGAGAGAAGTTAGCTTACCCAAGGAGAAATTTCAGATGCAATCGTCTCTAGTAGACGCGAGGTTGTTGCTGGGGTTGATCTCTAGTAGACATGAGGTTGTTGCTAAGGTTGATGCCGAGCGTAAGGTTAGGGAAGAAAAATAATGGCTATTCTTAATAATGGGTTTTTTTTTTTATAGGAACACCATTGGGATTTTATTTTTGTAAAGTGTTAAAAAAAAAGTTTTGAAAAAGTTGAGGTACTAACTTATCTAAAACGTTCTTTCAAAATCTAAAAACTCCTCCAAAAAACATACGTAATTCAAAACCGCTTCCAAACTTCAAAAACTAAAAATAACATTTGAAAAATCAATCCAAACGAGCCCTTAGATTAGAATCGTTTGAATACCCTCAATTAATTGGATAATTCAATATTAACCTCATTCCTCTATCTAGGAGTGGCAATTCGTGTTGGCGTGTCGTACTCGTGTCGACACGATTACGACACGGACACGATTAGGGTTGACACAAACATGATATAACTATTAATCGTGTCTAAGACCCTTGACACGAATACGATACGATTATTATATGTGTAACACGACACGACACGCATAACCTGTTTAATAAATGGGTCAAGATTTGACACGACACGAAAAGACACATTTAAGTCATTTTCGACACGAACACGACATATTTTTCTAAATGGGTCATTTTTTATACGAACGCGATACGTTTAGTTAATCGTGTCATAATCGTGTTACATGATCAAACACGACACTACACGTTTAGTTAGCGGGTCAATCCGTGTCGACACGATTATGACACGAACACAATTAACCCAATCTTAAGCCGCTTATCTCATGTCATGTTCGTATCGTGTTAACGTGTCGTGTCAAATATTGTCACCCCTACCTCTATCCAAACTCGCTTTTCCTAACCCTCAGGTAAGAAGAGAAAATACTAAAACACTTCATCCTAATTGTGAGAGATAGGTGAGTCGACCAAGAAAGGCCTTTCTTGCCGTTGATATCAGTTTCATCGAGTATACTCAAACCATTTATATTTTGTTATATGAACAAAAATTTATATTGGAAATTCCATGTCAAGACCCACAAATTCATTACATATAGAAGTCAATAAAGTGAAAGAGAAAGAGGAGGAACACATCAAACTTTTTCCACCAACAATTAAAGCACCTTTCCCACCAGAAAATGCCACTCACAAACCAAGAAAAAGAAAAGAAAAAAGAAAAAGAAAAAGAAAAAAAAATTGATCAAACCCAATCTGTAAAACTGATAAATTGATAATATCAAGGGACCAAATATATAGGCAATGCGGAGGTAGAGACCCTCCGCTGCTGCTGATCCACATCCATCTCCCTCAGACTGGTGTACGGTACCTCCACCTCCCCCTTTCTCGACGGCGTCATTGTTAAGGCGAGTGGCCCCGACGACGGCCGGCTGGTGGTTCGGTACGGCGAGGCGGACCCACTTCGGCTCTCCGTGAAGTACACTGGTCCTGATATTGATCCCCTCAGAGCACCACCATTGGAGGAGATGGGTTTGTCCTTGTAGTTGTGGGCGGTCCACTTCCATCTAAAGAAGAGCAGTGCGCTTCGCCACCATCGTTTCTTGCTCCTTTTGATCTTCTTTGACTCCTCTTTCGAGATGGGTATTTTGAGATTGAAGTGCAGAGCATCTATGGAGGAGGTTGATGTTTCGACCTTGTGCTTCCTTGCTTCTTCTAAAACCTTTGATTTCAAACAACAAATACCCAAAATATGGATCAGAGAGTTTTTAACATCTATACACACATACACATACACATAGTTCATATATACATATATAGATAGATATTATAAGAGTGGATAAGACCTGAAAATAATCGATTTGAGGGTCAAAGCCATAGTCACTGAAATGATGAGGCTCTGAAATTGGAAAAATGGGCGATTTGTTCGACATTTTTTCTCTTTCTTTCTGATTAGCTGCCTTTGCTCACTTTCTCAACTATGAGACTTTTTGGCACAAGAGAGAGTGATGTAAAGCACACACACAGACACACAGTGATTTGGGGGCTCAAGGTGGGAATGGCCGTTGCAATTTGCAAATGCTAGTAAATGCACTCATATTGTTCAAAAAGCATTATTTATTCACATGTTCCACGGCAAGCTTTTTTATTATTATTATTATTATTTTTTTTTTTTGGTGATCTTCATTTCGACCCTGAGATATACGTCTATATGTCAATGAAATCCTCTCAGGTTTGCATAATTTCAGTCAGACCCTTGTCAAATTGATCATCACAAAAAAAGTTTGAAAATTAAATTAAATTTTGGAATTAAAATTGAAATGAATTAAATTTCTGATTTTATCAAATTAGGATCAACTATGGAAAGGTTTAAATTAGTCCCTTTTTTTTTTTTTTGAGATTCAATTTATTTTGGGAATTAAAGTTTACAAAGATTAGGAATTGAAATGATTTAAATTTATGATTTTATCAAATTTGGATGACTAAGGACAGGTTTAAATTAGTCACTAATTTTTTATTTTAATTAAATTTATTTTGAAAATCCTATTTTACTAGTGTTGGAAATTGAAAGGATTTAAATTTATTTTTGAAATTAGGATTGATTAAGGAAAGGTTTAAATTCGTCACTATTTTTTTTTTTTTGGAAATTAAATTTATTTGAAATTGAATTTTACAAAGGTTATGAATTGAAAGGATTTAAATTTATGATTTTATAAATAAACTGAAATTTTAATAAATAATATTGTGTTTGGAGGGAATAAACTCAAAGTGAAGGGAAATTGAAGAGAAGGATCGTTGGCTCCATTTTATCAAAAAAAAAAAAAAAAAAAAAAAAGATCGTTGGCTCCATTTGGTTAGATGGAAATAAGTAAGAAAAGAAAAGAAATAAAAAATGAAAGAAAATTAAAGTAAATGAAAAGAAAAGTTATTTTCTAGCATACATTTTATGCCTCTCTGCGATACTAATCTAACTTTTAACACTTATTGTCTTGTTAAAAAAAATAAAAAATGTATTTGGTTAGCATGAAAATTTATTCAAAAAAATTGTAAAAAAATATTAATTTGTTATTTTGAATTGATGAAAGTGAAAAAAAAAATGATTGAACATATCAAAATTACTCTTATAATTTCAAATACTAAAAAATAAATAATTTTGTATTTGATGAAGTCTAATTTTAGCCAAAAAATAGTAAAATACTGGATTATTAAATTTAATAATATAATTATTTATTTTTAAAATAAGACTTCAGAATATTTTCTTAGGTAAAAGTCAAACTAATTCTTAGTTTAAGAGAAATGAAATTAAAAAAAAAAAAAAAAAAACACTGAGATCTACTTATGGCAATACTAATTTTTTTTAGAGAGATTCCATTGTAACTTGTGGAAAAACAAAGAAAGGAGCCAAAAAGGGGGGGGGGAGGGGTGTAACCATTTAATGATTTATTACGTAAATATCTTACTTCGAATTTTTTTTTTTTTTTTAATTAAAAAAATTTACCTTACTCAACCAATTAAATGTACATTGAAAACATATCCGAGTGAAGATGTAATCTTAAGAGATTGGACCCCTCATGCCCCCAATGAATTTCCCTTCAGGACCAAAGATAAGGTTCATAATAAATCCTAATTTGAAGAGAAAAAAAACTCTAATTTTTTAGTTGGTTGGCTATAAATTAAAAAGGAAAAAAATTTAAAAAGAGAACGATCGGGAAGATAAATTTAATGGGAATTTTGTAATCTATAGATTATTTTTAGAATGTTTAATAAACAAGAGAATTTTTTTTGACCAAATTATCTTTAAATGATCACTTATTAGCAATTAAGTTTCAAAATTGGTCACTATTAATCTTTTCTTGACTTTAAGACCACTTTTCAACAATTTTGTTTAGATATGGTCACCAAAATCTAATTTTTCCCAAAATAATAATAATAATAATAATAATAATTGCAGAGGACTTGCCTCTTAGAAATCCAGTAAAATAATAAATAAATAAATTGTGTAAAATATGAATGTCAAATTAAAATGCCTTTCACGCAAAAATATTCTTTCTCCGTATTTTGTGCGGGAAAATTTTTCACAGAAAATAGGCAAATATGGAAATAAAATTTTCAATTATGTTTCTTTTTTCATATATCTAAAATCTAAAAAAAAGAAAAAAAAAATTTAAAATTTTCTCTTTCCTTTTTTTTAATTTTTTTTTTTTTTTTTTCAAATCGACTCCACCAACCCAAACAAAACAAAGAAATTGGGGGATTGAGAATGATAGTCTTGGCATTATGACTTCTCTTCTTTATTTTTTTAATAATCTTTGACCATATGGTTGACCATTACATGAGAGAGGGAATCTGATATGTGTCAAAAAAATAAATAAATGGTTTGACTGAAATTATGCAAACTTGGGATCTCCTTTAGGCATAGAAATACCTCATGGTCCAAATGAATATTACCTCTTTCTTTTTTCTTTTCTTTTTTTTGTGTATTATTTAACTTTGACTAATTATATATAAACCTATTCATCTCGCATATTAATCTAATCATTTGAGTTTTATCCACCATACAAATAGTTTAAGTTTAGAGAAATTGCACTAAAAATTATTTTTCTCGACAAATAACAAAGTAATATTAATACTTGGGCTTCAGAATAATTTTTCTGTGTCGATCCCGTATGTTATTATGTTGCTAATGCAAATGTAATAAATATATGTAAAGATTGTTATTGCATGAGTGATATAACATATTTGTTACATAAATATTATAAAATTGTTGTATAATTGATGTAACAATACAGAACTAGCACGACATGGAAATCGGTTTTAAGACTTGAGTGTGATGTTTCAAATTAGAAAGGTAGATAAAAAAATTTAAATGAAAAATAATTTTAAAATTAATACGAACTCAAAATTTAATTAAAAAAATTATATATCCCACATGAATTTTTAACGTCATGATTATTAATGAATTCAGTACTAAAGTCTAAAGCTTGTCAAATATATGTGGGCCTGTCTTTTGTTTCTGCATGTCAAGTTGGTGTTGGACCTAAAAGGACTAAGGCCCATCCATGTAAAATATATACTACTATAAATTTGCTCTACCTTCCAAATAAAAAAATATATACATTATATACTTTAGTTTGAGCTAATCAAGCTTACCAAATGGTGGGGCTGAACATTTAATTTGAACACGAATTAGTCATCCTAATCATTTCGCAACAAGTTGGGGGTGGTTACACACCACCTTAATTTAATTCAACCGACGCTTCTTCAAATCCGCAGCTTCAAGCTTACACCCAAAAGATCATAACTTTAATGGAACAACAATTTGCTAGTAATCTTATTAAGAGTTAGTAAGCCCACACATTTCAGCCCAGGAAGCTCAAGCCCAACAAGACCCAAACTTTTCGTGGCCCAAGCCCGAACGATCCTTTAACCAAATCAGAAAAATGGGAGTCTTGCTTGACCTGTTTTTTATCTTTATAAATTGCTTGAAGTTCCTCACTTTTCTTTTCTACGAATTTATTCCATCTCAACCAGACTTTTTGCGCAAGAGAAAGTGATGTAAAGCGCGGAGAGAGAGAACTCGCAATTTTATTAATGTAACTTTCAATCCCACATGAATTTCAAATTTCATTATTATTAATTCAGTGTGAAAGCTTTTCAAATAAAATTTATTTATTTTTTATTAAAATACATTATAGTTTTGTTTCACCTAATCAAGCTTACCAAATGGTGGGCTGACCCCAAAAAAAAAAAAAAAATGGTGGGCTGAATAATTTAATTTGAACACGCGGGCATTAGTCAACATTCTTATTTTTTTTATATTATTTAATTGTGCCTCTCATCATTTGCCAAGCCAATAACAAACCAGGGAAGCTGGGGAGTGGTTAGACACACCTTAATTTGATTCAACCCAACCCACGTCGAACCCGCAGCTTGAACCTTACAGCACGATTGTCACAATAAATATAATTTTCTTTTAAGAATGGTTTTAAGATTTCATGTTTTTATATATATATAGAAAAGAAATAAAATAAAAAAAATTAAATTTACAAATTATAAGTATTTACATACAATTTTTTTCCTATTTTATTTCTTTTCTATATGGGTCTAGACTGTCTAGTCCGGTTTACTAGGCTTAGACTGCGAAGGTGTCTAGTTCGGTTTTCTAATTTCTGAGATCACTTCTCACTCTCTCACTCTCTCACTCTCTCACTCCCTCGAAGAGTTGAATAATTAAAAGCATTCAATATAAGTCCAACCTGACCATCAAAAAAAAAAATACAAGTCCAATCTGAACAACTAAAACAGACTACACAAATTTGTCAAAAAGTCCAAGTTGGTTAGTCAAATTTCAGCCCTGTCTCCCATTATAACATTAAGTTGGTTAGAATCAAATTGCAAGCATGCGTTTAAATTCGAATGGAGAACTAATTGGGTATATGTAAAATTTGGTGTTAGTATTATTTAAAATTTTAAGGCTTTGTTTGGTTTGTAACTATGAAAATAGTTTTTTATTTTCAGAAAATTAAAAACAGAAAATAATACAAAAATATCTCTTTGGTTTAGTTATCAGTTTTTATAGAACTATAAGATTGTTCTTTGAGAATAGTTTTCTATTCTCTGAATTCTTGAGAACTGTTTTCAGAATTACAAATTAAGCAGGCTCACGATAGCAATCAAGCGGATAATTCGGCCACCTTATTATTTTTTATTTTGAAATAGGCACTGATATATACTAGTAAATTGAAAGAATCAATCAAATAGAGGAGCGGAAAGTTCCCATCTAGATGATTTTTTCTTTCTGATTTTCTATGGAGACGATTCTGTGCTGTATTTAGATTGTTAGTGTAATACAATATATCGTAGTATGTAGACACATAAAAACAAAATTGTCATTGTTGTATAAGCAATGTAGCGTAGTTATTGCTTAAAAGATGCAAAATCATGACAAAAACAAGCACAAATTTCAGCCCAAGAACCTAAGGCCCAATGAGTACCAAACTTTTGTAAGGCCAAGCTCGAGCGAACCTTTGACTAACTCCAGTAGGTATTGATAATGGATATAGAAAGAAGTGGTTGACTGGCATCTTTGGGTCTATTAATTTAAGACTGCTCCACAAAAACTCAACCTAGTCCATCATCCAACTTCATGTGGACTGGTGGAGGCATAATTGAAGGATATTTTAGTCATTTCAAGTAAACCCGCGTCAACCGCGGCGTCTGCTAGACTGCAAGACCACACGAGCCCTACTCCGAAACTATCAAGAACCTTCCCCCCTTTCCTCTTTCTCTCTCTAAAACACACGATGACCAAGAACCTTCCCCTCTCTTTATAGTCCAAATATAACTCCCCCAATCCCCTCACTACACCCAACATTCATTCATACCTCATCTCCTTACACTTTCTCTCTCTGCAACAAATACAGTTTCTCTCTCTAGAAACACACTTTCACACCGGCTCTCTCCAATGTCTGCAACACAGGTAATGGATAGCGATGGCCGCGATGACCGTTTCTACCAAGGCTCCCCACCAAAGGGCTATGCACTGAGCGGGAAGATCATGCTGAGCGCAATCGTAATCCTATTCGCTGTAGTCGTATTCGTGGTCTGCCTCCACATCTACGCCCGCTGGTACCTCCTTCGTGCCCGGCGGCGCAACCTCCGCCGCCGCCGTACCGCCCACCTTGTATTCTACGTCGATCCCAACAACCCTAACGCCACCACCGTTATCGCCCCGGGCCTCGACGCCTCTGTCCTCAGTACCCTCCCCGTCTTTGCCTACTCCTCCAAGACCCACCCCGAGGTGCTAGAGTGCGCCGTGTGCTTATCGGAATTCGAAGAGAACGAAAAGGGCCGTCTCTTGCCTAAATGTAACCACAGCTTCCATATAGGCTGTATCGACATGTGGTTTCACTCTCACTCCACGTGCCCACTTTGCCGGTCGCCGGTCGAACCCCAGGTTTCAGCTCCTGTAGATGAAAACCGATGCGATGTTGTTGTTACAATTGATGAACCGGCCGGTTCGAGTGCTGGGTTGTGCTCCACGTGTCAACACGAGGAAGAAGTGACGTCACTTCCTTCTTCTTCTTCGTCGGCGACGTCGGCGTTGGGGGCTCGACGGAAGGGATTAGATCTGACCAGTGTGACGATTGAGATACCGAGAAACGACTCAGATATCGAATTAGCGGTGAGTTCACCCGCGAGTCGTGGTTTCAAATCTCCCGTGACTCGTTTTCTGAGAATACTGAGTATGAACAGAAGATCGCCGGCGTTTTCGCCGGCGTCTGGAGTCGGAACGAGTTGTGGGGGTGTGGGTACTGAATTGGATATAGAGCGAGGAGTGGACGAGTCGACTCAGCAAAAATCGGGCTCAGCCGCCGAGATAAGAGACGGTAACAGTAACGCGACAACAGTGTAAGAAGCGTTGATAATTGGAATGGGACACTGACTGTCAGGCTCTTATATCAAGGACCGTGGATTGGGTTGGTTCAATACACGTGGCAGAATCATGAGATGGCTGCGGTTTAAAATATACAACCAGACACATTATTTGAGGTGGCTTTTAGCGCACGCGAGACATCAAAGACTGGAAATATGTTGACTCGCAGATGTGTTGATTTCTTTTTAAATTTTTTAATTAATTTTATTATTTGAAAAGTTAGTTGCTTTTGTCATTTTGTGAGTAAAAACGCGTGTATTCTCCGAAAAATACGCATATAATTGAATACATTTTGATGGAAAAATACATGTATAATTGTTTCATTTACATGTATTGGAACTCTATTTTATAAATCTGGTATTCTTATTTTTTCTACTTTTGCATTCACTTACTTTTGAAGGTAAGGATTGTCTTTCAAAATCACTCGATGTTGTAAAACATCATTTTAGAAGATTCAGGAAAAAAAAAAAAAAAAATCATTTTAAAAGAGCTTACACACTTTATTTTGAGAGCTAATTGTGATATTTATATATATTATTTTGGGTAAAATGCAAAAAGTTTCGTATTATACCCAAAAAAAAAAATTTGAGGAAAAAAAATACCTTTATTATTTAGTATATGTATATAAATTCTTTATAATTGTGAATTTGTAGCCAATTACCCTCAATCATCAATTTTGATCAAAAAAAATAAAATAAAATAAAATAAAAAATCTTCTAAAAACTCCAAAATACCCTTAATAAAAAAGTATAAATTAAAATTACAAATAAATTGAAATAAATTTTTATTTTTTTCATTTTGCTTTAAGGACATTTTAAGTATTTTTGTCCCCTTATTTGCTTGATTTGAAAAATGTATATAGTTTTTTTTATTTTTTTTTAACGGAGTAATTCTGAATATATAGCAAATGTTTTTTTTTTTTTTTTTTTCTTTTTTATAAATTAATTGACATTTTCAGATGTATCAATAAAATCTACTGATAAGCTCTCCTTTTCAACCACGTTTGTTTAAAAAATATATGCATAGAAAGAATATATTTGATTATCTTTTATGATCGGTTAAGTAATTAAATCAAAACTAAATCTCTCAATATTTTTATCCACGTGCAAAAGTGTTGTGCCTTTAATTTATTAATTACTAAATCTCTAAATATTTTTATTTACAAGTAAAAATGTTGCGCCTTTAATTCATTCTTAATAATATCTCTTTTATCTCAAAATAAAAAATAAAAAATATACATAATAAAAATTTGAGACCCGAAAAAGACAAATGAGTGCACTATTTTTGTTTTCAATGTTAGTTTCAACATAAATGTGACAATGTCATATTAGTCTTCTAACACGTTACTGATTTCGTGTGGGGGCAAAATTATGGAATGCTACGCCCTCGCGCGGAAATTGCCAAGAACATGACTACATTTTGATTTCGGATTGGTATCCACGTTAGCTGCAAATGATTAGGTTAACATCCTTAGGCGGAGATACTGTGATCAATTTGTACTTTGAAGTAATTTGGAAGATAATTTAAACGCGGCCAAACTCAACCTAATTCTCAAATCACTTTACCCTTTGACCATTCAACTAATTACTACTACAATTTGTTTATTTATTTTTTTAATGGTTTTTTTTTTTGGTAAACTTGTACAAACTGCATTGTATGTATGACTGAGTTCACGGGTCATACAATACTTCGTTTGCAGCTTGACCACGTTAATGAAAAATCCTATAAAACTTTTATTTTTTAAAAAACGAAGGCGGTTTTGTTTTCCACAAAACCTTCTCATTTCACACTTCATACAGTTTTTTTTTTTTTTTTTTTTTTAATAACTGTAAGCCAATAGGTAGTAGTAGGTTTAATTTGAAGTACAAATTGTAAATTCCCATATAAAAATTGCAACTTAAAATTACAGAAAATGTAAGTTGATTCATTCAAGTACATTACTTTTGTAAAACTAAGGAAGTATATTTCTGTAGAACTCTTATTGTCACACTATGATATATCAATTATAAATATATAAATATGAGATGGAGAGAGAGTTGGAAGCTAAGTCATATAAAGCGGGAGCGGAGCGAGAACGAATTCAAGAGCGGAGGCGTGAAAGCGACATAATTAAGTCATAAGCAGTGAGAATTTAAGCAAGAACGCATGCGAAGCGTAAGAACGACACCTATTGAGAAAAATCGTGTGACTTAGGTTGGAAGACCACAACCAACTTACGTCAACACACATGCATCCAATTATTACAGTACTACTTGAGAACTTAATTGCAGGGCACAACAAAGACTAATACAAGTATATAAGTTTTGGACGAACTTATAAGAGAGAATTCTACATTGATTAAAGATAAGTTTTTACAAGCCGCCTCTCGAGTTTCCAGAAAGGCAAGGGCCTCTTGAGTTATATATCCAAGTAATAAATTAAGGGTAAAAAATATTACATATCACTGCAACAGATTATGTTAGTGATCTAGAAATGATAATGGTAGGTTACCTTCTCAGTGATGGACGCCATTCAACCAGAAATGTGTTGAATTCCCCATATGATTTTCGTGTCATCCTGCAGAATTTAAGTTAACAAGTCGAGACTTTCGTCTCCTCTTGCCATCGGGAGTGCAGCTAACACCGCCAAGCTTTCCTAGCTTCAAAGAGAGCTTGCAATTCAATTGTGATGACATTGCTGTTGATGTAGATGCTGAAGGTGATGAACTAAGAGCTGGAGATTTTTCTCTTCTTGACTTGTTGCCTTCACCTTTCATGCATCCTTTTATTTTAGGTGATTTTGCTCTCTTCTTTGATGATCGGAGCTGCACTTCCTTCCGTCTCTTGTCGCTAAGTAGCCGGACATAGAAGGGGTTAGCAGCTGTGTAACACATGGTCTCACCATTCGTTTCACGCCTCTCAAGGCCAATGTTTCCATTGTTCACCTACAAAAATTAAAGCGAACTATAAATTTTACCCAGGATAAAAGTAGTTGCTCCACTTTAGTTTTATTTTCCCAGCAAAACTGCTGAAGTATTATTATGGAACTGTACAAAAAAGTTATACTAGTTTAGATGGAAGTCTAAAATTGATGCAATTAATATAAAAAGCAGTTTCCAAACACACTGCTTCCATTTCTCAACAATGGATTACCAATTGAAGGAGTGCAGAAAAAGTTCGAGCAACATCATGCTTCTCTTGGCCCCTGACGACATCTGCGAAAGACCTGACATTCCCACCATCTGCTTCCAGGGATAGCTGGTCCAAAACTCTTTCACCGTATTCATGAATATCAAATGGTGGGCGTGAATCCTGTTAGGAAATGACTACTGTTGATTCAAAACACTAGAATGGACATGAAAACTGATGCTCATAATTAAGTCAAGGTTTGGGATATCAAAAGAGATACTGTACGTACTTGCTCTTCCAAGTTCTGCTCAATTCTCTGTTTCCATGTCGAAACTCGAGCTGCCATTTCAGTCTGCTTCTCAGTTTCAGCAATGCTAGCCAGGAGAGCATCCTGCATTTAGGAAGACAGGTTAACAACAATGTATTGCTCCACAGCAATCAAACAAATGGAAAACAGATGCAGTAAATTTACGGCAATAGCAGGCTTGCCTGCTTTTTTGTGATTGCACTAGTGGATTGCAAAGTCATTCAAAATGAAAAAGAAAAGGATTACTTCAAAGATAAAAACATAAGAAGCAGGACGTTGATGTCAAATAAATGTAGAAGGAATGAGCATCGGAAAAACTTACTATAAAGACACAATTATATGTACTTGTCCTTGTTCCTTGATGAAGTTACATATATATATATATATATATATATATATATATATATATATGAAAGAAAATAAGTTACATGTTTTAAATCATTGCTTTCAGCGAGGTTGTCTGTATGTGTGACACAGGTGCAAGCATGAAACTGCAATATTTCAGATCAAAACTCCCAGGTTTTATTAAAACATCTGGAGCATGATCGGCAAAACTAGACTTGTTTGCCACCATATGACTAGGATGTCAAAACTGATCTCCCACCATCATCCGCCTTTCCACTCACATCCACGGGAGAGAGAGTGGATAGATAGTGAAATTTTTTATGCACCTTACAAGTTCATATTACGATAATCAATGCAAAACTGGAGAATTCATTCATACCAGGTGAGAGCGACAAAGGTCTTCTAGACTTGCTTGAGAATTTGGATCTTCATGTCCATAAGCTTCATTAGTGTCAACGTGAACAGCATCATCTCCATGCTGCATAAAGATTAAAATATAAGCAAAAAAACAAATTGGCAACTAGATCCAGCTACATGACTTATATAGAAAGCATGTTATTGGTCTGCCAAACCTTTTCAGGATGCAAATATTCTTCTTCGTACATGTATGTATTCTCCGGCATGTCAAAATCAGGTGGTCCAAAATCATGGTCCCCACTGTCATATCCGTTGTCCTCATTGTCATCCTTACTATTAGAAAATGCATCAAAAGTTTCATGCCCTCCATGAACAAGTGATTGGCGCAACTGCATATAGATCAGGCATTATTTAGGAAAGAAAAAAAAGAAAGAACATCAGGCATTATGTAACAACCATTACACAAATGTTGGCAGAAAATTCACCAACCAACAACCAACCTTCTCATATAGTGGAGGAGATTGAGACTCCTTTTGTTTTCCTAAGGCACTACGTTGTGTCTCCCATATTTCAGTGAGTTCTGGACTAATGGTACCATGCAATCTTGCAAGAGGAAATTGTGTAGTTATTTGGATCCGCTTAGCGGAATTTATACCCGGTCTTCTAAAAGTTTTAACTGCTTGGAAGCAAAATGAAAAGGTTTAACAGCATTAGGTGCATAATAAACTAACAAAGGTTAGTAAGAATAAAAGTAAGCAAAGAGTTCCAGCAACCTTTTTTAAAAGGTTTTACTTTCAAATTCCCAGGTTCATGGGGATTCAAAGGCTTCCAAGGATCGTCCTCGTCATCTGAATCATCCAAGTCCCCAGGTTCAGAATATCCATCATCCATTTCAAATCCACAATTGTTGTGGTCAGGAGGATCAGGATTTATATTACAATCATTAAATTCAAAACCGTGATCAACCAAAGGAGATCGATTGACATTTGCATCCTGATTCTTCCCAACCGACAATTTTTGGCAAGTTCCCCCAGAACGTCTTGTGGGAGACTGAAAGATCTTGCGAGATTTAGAGGTAAGAGAGCTTCCTCTGTAGACACTGTTTTTCCCTTTACCATTATTGTCATCGCTCAGAAAATCATTAACAGCTACGGCATCACATGGGTCTAATAGAATAAAATCCCGGTAGAAATCATTGGTGGCTAACTGCAAACACACCATCACCATTCATGAGAGAATGACCCAAATTATCGTGGGATGAAGCTATTGGAAATGATTTTAAAAACTTAATATAATAGGTGAGATGGAGTGTAATAGAAACGAATGGAAAGGAGAATTCATGTGGCCGACCCTATTCATATGAGATTATGGCAAGGATAATGATGATGATGATGATGATGATTTTGCCAAAAACTAGAACTACTTTACCAGATACGACTCCAATTCCCCACCATCACCAGTAGCATCAAAGCAATCACCTTCAAGTACAACTAGATTTGCAGGGGTCTTCACAAAATGATTTAATGGAGCATCTCTGCAAGATGAACTATCCAGGGAATTCTTAGGCTCCACTGCAATGTAAACAAAGGTCAGCCAAGCAATGCACAGTAACTCTTTTACCAAAATGACACACACAGCGACAGGCTACCTGAGATATCATCCAAGCCCCAAAACAGATCATTTTCTTCACCAATAACTGCATTCGAACCATCTTCTTGTGGTTGGACTGCGGCATCCTCTGTCTGATCCTGCTGCCTGTTCAAATATTATAAAAGAAAAATGATTAATATGTGTAGTTTTTCAATTTATTTTTCTCTTTGTTACATTATGCTACATTTACTAACCATTTTTACTAAACTACCATGTACCCATTTAATGTAGTATAATGGTAGACAGCAGATGGGAGCCACTGTAAATGCAGAACTGACCCAAAGCAATTACATGTACAGCCAGAACCAATATGTTAACAAAGCTGGTCTTTCAATTGCTCAGTGTAGATGGTAGAATAATGCCCCTTGGCATTAAAAAGAAAAAACCAGTCCGCAGTATTTCTTTTACAAGGTGATAGAAGTTTAAAATATATGTTGCTGCAACTGTGCAGATTCCCAGGAATAGTATAATATGAGTTAGGAGAGAAGAAAATAAAAGAAAGGAAAACGTTAGTTAGGAGAGAAAAGAAAAGAAAGGAAAGGTGGGGATATTGTTAATCACTTGTCGTGTTTGGTTGATTAATAAAGAAAAAGAAAGGAAATGATAGCAATCATGTTTGTGGGAAAGAAAGGAAAGGAAACTATTTTAATGAATTTACTACCATACCCAGGAATAGTATAATATGAGTTAGGAGAGAAGAAAATAAAAGAAAGGAAAACATTAGTTAGGAGAGAGAAGAAAAGAAAGGAAACGGGGGGATATTGTTAATCACTTATCGTGTTTGGTTGATTAATAAAGAAAAAGAAAGGAAATGATAACAATCATGTTTGGGGAAAGAAGGGAAAGGAAACTATTTTAAAGAATTTACTACCATACCCTTTTCCATATATTTTGTCTTTTAAAAATATAAGGGCAAATTTGGTATAACAAAGTTTCATTAAAAATGCTAGCATTTCCTTCCATTTTTGGGAGGATAACAATAAACAAAACCAACACTTCATCCCTTATTTGTATTCTTCCGAATCCCTCCGTTTCCTTTCTTTTCCTTTAATAATCTATACCAAACATAATATTTCATTTCCCTCTATTGCCTTTCTTTTCTTTTCCTTTCATTACCCTCCAACCAAATTGGCCCCTAGAGTGTAATTAATGCATTGGTATGGAACATGATAACATATTCAAGTTGTGTAAAAGGATTATCCATTAATTACACTCTAGGTGTAGTCTCACAAGTCTATTTACTTATTTATTCAACAATTCAGAACTTATAAAACAAATGCAACTGAATTATGGTTAAGGAAACAAGTAAATTCTCAAAATAAAATAAAAAAGTAACAATATCTGATTAGAGAACACTCCTATCAGGAAATTTTTAACTAGAGAAGATGTTGATGACAACAGAGAATCTATAAAGGGAATGCAGATCTTAACAAGTACTTGAAAGATGTTGGGGACAAGTGACAACAAAGAATCTAAAAGAAATACAAATCCAAGTGAACTCTAGCTCTCAGATGTCACAGTAATTTAGATTTAGTAGCATAATATTAAGCATTTGTTCAACCCAAGTGAGCATATAAGCCAAGTTTCAGCTCCAAAACAAAGAATTTCCCCCACTGCCCTGGAATAAGAACACCTCATCAATTCATGGTCAACAAATTAATCCAAGTTGATGCCATCTCAATGGAAGCAATTCAACTTCCTGGGAATTCCACAAACTCTTATATCACTCTCTGGAAATTTCACAAGCTCTTATACCAGATTCTTTTATGAGGGAAAAAAAAAAATTCTTTGACCTCCCATAAATACATAGCAGTTCGATATTTTTTTATTTTATTTCTCTTGGCCCCCTCCAAAGATATTAGTTTATAATTTCAATAAGGTAAAAAAAAATGAATGGGGGGTGTGGGGTGTCAATGATTTTAACCAAACCAAACCTCTGTAGAGAAATTATCCACTTACCCTCGCCATAACACAAAATTGCTGCGGCCTGAAACATGCAGAAGTTAAAACAACTCTACTCCCTAGCCACACTGTTGCGCAAATGCACACCATCCTTCTTTGGGCACCATCAACATTCACCTTCTTGCCAAAACTCATTAAAAATTCTAACCCCTTGCGTGTAGAATTAAATCAGCCATTAGGTCCACTGCCAGGCAAAAATTTCCAATGTTAAGCCCCCCTTGTTCACTAGAACACCTACGCCGGTGAACTTAGAATCAATTAAATCTTTTTTTTTTTTTCCTAATTGGTACTCACACACACATATCTCTTCTGAGACTTGAACCCCTGACCTCCCTTTGGGAGGTAAGAGGCAGATACCGCTAGGCCACTGACCCGTTGGTAGAATCAATTGAATCTATCACAAAAGTAGTCAGTTTCAACCCAAATATATTCCTCTCAAGGGTTCTTATCATTGCATAAAGCATATGTATGACCTAAAATGCAAATGAACACCACTCAATTCATAACTTAGGTTCTTGCCCCATCAACAATGAATCACATTCTTCCTATCTATATCAGCATGTGGAACGGGCAACATCACTATTCAGATTTTGATGGATTTAGGACTCTAACCAACACCATACACTTCCTCTTAAATGTATCCCAAGTTTATTTTGCAACTTCACTTGCTTTGATCATTAGACCAACAACCTTCCTTTTCTTTATTTAAACTGAGTGCTTCAACCAAAGCTCATGCTTGCTTTTTATAGCATCGATTCAGAGCATTAGGTCTCCCGTCTCATTGTTTGTTAAATCTATCATGAATTATATATTTTTCAAAGTTAATAGTTTCCAACTATCATCATTTCTCCTCCAACAGATTAAAACACCATCTCTCCTTATATTCCTATTTGAAGCAAATCCCCAAACACCTAAATGCAGTGCTTGAGAAATGTTAATACAAAAACTCAAAAGCAATCCGTCAAATACCTTACTTTTAAGCCGTAACCAACATAAGCTATAATACAACCTATAAACTTCGGACAAGGCACTTATACTATTTTCTCTCCAGAACCCACCAAGAAAAGAAAAGCATACATACAAAAAAAAAAAAAAAAATCAATCTTGAAGATAAAAATGAATATTGTAGAACTTAGTTTGTAATATAAAACAAATAAAAAGATAACGAGCTTACTGACACTTCCATGCCACACTTTAATGCAAATAGGCAACAACAAAGTTCACATCTGACATGGAAATCCCAAATATTCAATAAAACTTAAACTTCAAATTACATTAATCCAGAATCAACTTGACTAAAAGCAATAAGACGTAAAACCAAGTAAGAAATCAAATGAACAAGACAACGCTAATCAAATTAATATCAAACCTCTTCTGAGAAATGAACTCTAAAGCATGTAGAACCAAAGAATAAAGATATTCCACCTTCCTACTGTACACTTGAATTGAACCCTGAAGCAGCAAAGCAGCTGAAAAATTCCCAAAAAATCCAAATTAATCCAACAACTAAATTCTTTTTTAAAAATGTAGACTTTACAAAAAAATTATAAATGAAAAAGAGTACAAACCTTCGGCAAAATTCACGGAAAGGTGGCCGTCGTCTTCGCCGGTTACCTCACCGGAGCAAATCTTCAAAAGATACTCTTCAAGGTTTTTGGCGAGATCTACGGCCCAATTTGATTCTAAGTCACGAAGTGGCTGAACCGTATGGAATCTGCCTCCAGAATCGACACCACTAGGTCCTTCTTGGTTGTTATTCATTTTCGATTGAGCAATCGTCCATTCCGGCGATAATCGAGTTTCGTTTGAAACCCTAGCTCCTGAATTTGGAGTGAGTGAACAAAAACCCCAAAAATGGTTTAGGGTTTTCGAAGTAAGCCCAAAAATATGGGATGGAGAGAGAGAGTACAGTAGAGGTAACAGCAGAGTGGATTGGAATCTGGAGAGAGAGAGAGAGAGAGAGTCTGAGAGAGAGAGATCAAAAATTCGACGACCGTTTTCCCGCTCAGGAACAGCGGTACTAGTTTTGTGTAGAATTGCTTCTGGGCCTAGGGCCCGTTAAAAGAGGCGAAACAACAAGGGCCTTAAATGACCTAGCAAGCGGCCTTAACTCACACAGCCCAGTTCTTCCCAACCCAACCTGAAATTCAAGGTACAATCGTCCATATGTATTTGGCTTTGGAAATTAGTCCATACTGGTTGTTTAATTGGTGTATAAATGTTTCTTTCTTCTTTTTGTCTATAAATGTTCATTGTTTAAACATCTCTCTTTTTACTTCACTTGGTATTTCAGTTTTGTCCTAAGTCACATAAAGCGGGAACGAATTCGAGAGCGGCAGTCATAAACAGTTAGAATTTGAGCGAGAGCACGCGGAGTGTGAGATAGTGGCGAAACCATTTGTGGGCTAACTTGGGCTATAACTTAGGTCCAAAAAAAAAAAAAAAAAAAAATTAGTACTACTATTTCCTATCAGTCATAACCTAGCCCAATCAGTCATAACCCAACCCAAATTGCCCAATTCATAATAAAAAATAAATGATAAATAGAGTCTAGGCCAAAAACTGAGCCCAGAAAGGCCAAACCCATTAGGCTGGACCAACCATTATAGACCAACACATGGACAAATTGTAGCTTGAAACAAAGACATACTCTAGGAACCCATTTCTAGATTCCTCTAAATTTAAAGATATTGTAGCCCATTTGTCTCATTCCCAATTCATTCTCTTTAACACACTTATCAGTGAACCCAAAAACTGTTTCGAGTTTCTTTCATTTTGCTTTTGACTCTTATGGATTTAGATTCACTGTTAGATTTTATTGCGTTTTCATTTGTTTGCTTTTGATTCGGTTAATTGATTTGAAGCTTCCAGTTTTGTTTAATGACACCAAAAATAGGCATCTTGAGATAGCCATTGCATTGGTGAATATGAATATGGTGTCCGAGTCTGCTCTTAGCGGACATTTGATTTATTGGTACATGTCTATTGTACCCACTTCAAATTCACCAGTGCAGACTCGGACACTGTATTGATTATGGTGTTTTACATCAAACCTGAGTTATTAACTGAAATTAATTATAATTAGGGATTTTTCATATGGTGCCTCGATTTACCATTATTTAAATATTCATCGATATTGTTGTTGTTATCATTATCATCTTCTTTGTTTGATTTTTTTTTTCCCAAGTAAATCCTTTGCTTTAAATTTTTTTTTAGCCCCCCTTACTTTTAGATCTTGGCTCCGCCCCTAGTGTGAGAGCGATACCTATTAAGAAGGATTGTGTGACTTAGGTCTTGTCATCTCTATTAAGTTTAGTCTTTTATTTATTTATTTTTTTTACCGGCTTGACAATCCTTTCATCTTTCACATAATTATTTAATCTAGTGCTTAATTATAAGATGGGTTAAGAGATCCATTTAAGTCATACACAGCCACACCGAAGTGAAAAAGTGATAAAATCTAAATTACACTGTAAGTACGTAAGAGTAACACCGTTTAAAAATTTTGTGTAATTTAAGATCCTATAACTTGAGCAACCGCAAACTAAAATTTGATACAGGTATGGCTACCAAATTAATTTTTTATTCGAGTTACAACACAAAGAGTTCATTGCTTACAGAAAGAAAAGGGGATCAATAGTAGCGTACCCTTTTTTTATGCTAGTACACAGAGAACCCTAGAGACTCTTCCATTAACTATCTTCCTAGTCAAGTCTAAAAATCATGCAATATATGCATACATGAATACAAGACTTCTAGATACATTAATTAACACAAAGATGTAATGATTAAGTATATTACTGCATGTCTAGCCTCTTAATTACTTTATGCCACGATCATCATCATAAGCCAGGTTGGTAGGGCACTCCGGTGGCCGGAATCCAAGTTTCGCTGTTAATGAAAGATTTAGGAGTGAACTCACTTATTTGCTCCGGGGTTACGTTCTTGACCAGACCCGGCCATGCCACTCTCTTTGCTTGGTCTGCGCCTGGGCCTTTGTTGTTGAACTCAACATAATAGAGTGTGTCAAGATATTGAGTACCCAACCATGGAGACCATCCTTCCGGGTCCACAATCCCCTCAATATGAGAATTCATCACAACGGTTCTCGAGAAATTCTTCCATGGCCGTCCGAGAAACACCTTCACCGGGGGCTTGGAAGCTAACAACTCCGGTGCACCTATGATGGTGCAGTTCTGGAGGACTATGGCGGACCAATTACGTGGCTCTTTCCTTCCTTGAGCCGTGACCATGCAGGCCTGGTTGGGCAGTGGCTTCCTCACCACCATGGTGCAGTTTTGGAAGACAGCAGCCGCGTCACCGAAGACGAAGTCTATGGTTCCGGAGACGGTGCAGTCACGGTAGAATTGACGGTGGGTGTGAGCGTAGAGGGTGTCTTGGTAACCATCGAATTGGCAATTGTAAAAGACCGATAAGTCCGATGAAACTTGGATTGCTACAGCTTGGTGCATTGTTGCTCCTGCACTGTTCTCAACTCCAATGTTCTTCGCCATGAATTGATTTCCATTTACACCTGCAAACACACACACAAAGATATGATAATTTAGCAATTTCATATAGAAATTTGTTAACCTGACCTAAGAAAAATGGGCTATAACTGAACACGTTACATGTGTTTTTGGGTTTTGTACGTAGTAAAAACTTACCAAGTGTTCCGGTTCTGAATGTATTAAAACCACCAACAAAGCTCTTGTTTCCAGTGATCTTGGTTTTTGTTGGGCCATCTCCGATGAACATCACATTGATCATTTGCTTAGTGATAATAACATACTCCTTATAAATACCAGCCTTGATGTATATGACAAACGTCTTGTTGCTATGCTTTGGGATATCTTTTAGGGCTTCATTAATGGTCTTATACTTCCCGGACCCGTCCTGAGCGACAACGACGTCCGGTTTGATGGTTGCCGGAGTAGCTTGTAGGAGCCTGCGCTGAGTAGAACCGACCCATGAAGGGAACGCATCATGACCCTCTGGTTCGAGGAGTCGCCGGCTGGCCCCCGGTAGCTCTATGGTTTTGATGATCTTGTTGAGCTCAGTAACCATGGCAAGAGCATTGCTGGAGAGCTCGCCCGACCTCCTCAACAGCTCCTGCATTTTCTGTGCAAGATCGCCTGTCGTGTTCTCGAAGGCGTCCAAGCAAGTCTGTTGGTAGGTAATGGCACCACTGAGCCATGTTTTCAGGTCTGCCCCGAATTCATCCAAACTGCTAAGTTCAAAACCTCGAAGTTTATCGAAAGATCTCTTGAGATCATCAATGGAGTCCTCCAAGAGCTCATGACAGAGCCCAAAAGCATCCTCCGTCCTCGGGTCCTTTGCGAGTTCTTTGAGAAGAGAAGAGTTCTTCATGGCCTCTCTGATGTTTTGTACGGTAACGTTGAAGGCCAACTTGATGAGGTCTTTTGGGTTGCTCGTATTTCCTGCTGAAGAAAGACTGCCTTCGCAGGTCTCCTTATAATCAGTTGGTTGGCAGATGGCCTTCACTGCCTTCGACGACGTCGTTATTTGATCACCACCGCTGGTTGCCGGAGCACCACCACCGTTGGCTTCGCCGCTCTTCTGATTCTGATGCCGGGTGACTCCGACCACGGTGCCCACCACCATTGCCACTAGGAGTAGAGAAGACACTCCCATGATGGCAACCTTCTTTTTCCCTCCACCACCATTTTCACCTTCACCCATTTTTAATCTAAAATATGCAGCTCGATAACCTCTGTGGCATATACAAGAAGGAATTTGTCTTTTCTTCTCCTACTTGTTTGTTTGTTTTTTTGTATTTATATATATATCTCTCTTTAGCTTTAATGGACGAGTATGAGAATTCTACAGAGCTCCTGGGGCTCTATAATTTGCAGTTATTGATGCCCCTTGTGCTCTGATTTCGGAAGACACATGAAAATGGTGGTATGTAGCAACTTATATATAACATATAGATACAAGAGAGAGAATTAAGAAAGACAGGGACTGGACAGTATATTCAGTTAGCAAATGTGAGGCTGAGATGTCCGAAAAAATAGAAAATTTACCAAACTTAATAGAGAATCTCCTTAACTTACTTTATATGATTAGAGGCTGTCACAGTTTTAAACCATAACCACATTGTTTGTTGTAGGATTTTTCCTATCAATACTAAAGATTCGTAGTTTAATGAGTGCGTGAAATTCAGTACCAAGAAATTCGTACAAATGAATGGATTAAATGAAACTACTAAATCCGAGTATGATAGAAAATGATACTACTAGATGACAAACATGGATTGAAATAAAGCACTTACACTAATAATATTATGGTCTAACTCGCTGATTGTTATATTATGCTTATTTTTAATGTGTTTAAAATTCTAGTAAATGATATTCGAATCTAATGATATTGGATGGACCTGCAACAAATTTTTGCTATGTGAAAGAGGAAAAAGTAACGGTGGTACCTTTTGTTGTTTCTTGTTACGAAAAAGGAAACGAACCTCTTATTCACACCATACAATGAAGTAAAACTTCCACCCCATTGTGTCATTTTTTTTTCTCACTAAACCGAAACAAGTAAAACAAATTTCACTGTTAGTTATATATCTTATTGTTTCTTGATTTCTCTGGTTGCAGACTGTCACAAATTCTAATGATTTTTTTAGCTTTTACTCCCTGAAAATATTACTCCAGATTCATTTAAAAACAGATCTTAGTATATGAATTGATCTGCTTACATGTTCTGCATCCCAAAATAAAATAAATGGACTTTGGCTGAACACTTTCTACACATCCACACAGTGATAGCATGCATAAAACATTAAACATAAGAACTCAGACTTACTAGAATAAAGTTCGTACATTTTTTGTCCATAAGCATAATTAACAAAAACCAAGGTAGGATACAAGATACAGTAATGAAAACGTTTACTTTATTCATCCCGTAAACATAACAGCGAAGACAGCAGTGAGCAGAGGGGGCTTCACTTCACTGTGCAAAGTTTAATTTTGTTCGTCAACTACCAGTGGAACGGACTTCACCTGAAACACCAGAGTGCATGAAAAAGTTACTTGGAGTTCTTAAAATTTGTCTACATGGATTAATAATGAGGCTAGAACAATTGTTTCTTCTATAATTTCTGGATGAAAAAATGCCAAACTGATCGAGGAGTGAACAATGAACTTAATCTCTTCCATGGCCCAGGTAAAAGGTTTTCATGCAACTGGAACAAGCATTAAGCAGAAGAAAATTTATATTTTCTATCCTAAACTAACACTCACTGGTTTAAAATAAGTACTAATCATTGTCATGTTGACTGCAACAAGAAGAGAGAAATTTGTGAATTTAAAAATTTTAATCAGGAAATGATGATGGAAATTCTGTTTTGGCTCTCAAACCTCTCAACGCCAATTTTGACAGGTTAAAAGGAACTGAAGGGTTCCAATAGTTGCAGACAGGTAACAAGCAATGTTGTCGAGGTCAGATTACTTACCAAATTCTTGTACTTGAGAATGTAAAACATTTCCAGATATCGTCGAGTCTCACGCCTCTCCAGCTTTGACACATGCTTCCAGAAGCCATAAACCCCAGCCAATGTCAGTAGCCTTTGGGAGTAGATCTTCCATGTGTACCTGAAATATCAAATTCAGAACTAGCAGTTCAGCAGAAAGAGGGGCTTTTACACAGGTCCGTCCAGAAAATCAGACCTTTCATAGATTCGTTTAAGCCCTGCATCAGAGATCTTGTCCCAGTGGCTTGGATCCTTTTTGCTTTGTTCAAAGAAGTCAACCAAAACGGCTGCTACCTGATCAGGGTGATATGGATCAATATGAAATCCTGAAATACCATGCTCAATAATCTCAGCAGGGCCACCATGACAAGTAGCAAATGTAGGAAGCCCACAAGTCATGGCCTCCACAATTGTGAGGCCAAAAGCTTCATAGAATGCAGGCTGCAAAAAAGGATAAAACAGTGAAAACATTTAGAGTTGTCATGGCAGTAAAAGCATTTAAAGTTTCCAACTACGCCGTGGTGCCATACCTGCACAAAAGCCCCTCTTGTATCTGCAATGTAGCGATAAAGCTCACCATTTCGAGCGCGGTTCATTTGTGCGGTTATCCATCGAAACTGGCCATGCAAGTTGTAATCTTTTATAAGGGCATGCATCTTTTCAATCTCTTCCACCTCTTCTCTGTCCCTGGATTGCTTTGCATCAATGTAACCCCCAACCACGACAAGATTAACCAGCTGTCTTAGCTTGTTGCTTTTACCATAGCACTCAACCAGGCCCGTTAAGTTTTTGACCCTGTCGAGTCTTGCCATCGAAAAGATAATGGGCTTTGACTGATCACTCAACATGCCACTGCATTAGTATATATCAAGTATCAGATCTGTGACCAATATAAGATGAACTTGCAGGGTGCAAATGCAATATGCAAGAGGTACGTTTTTATAATTAAAATACTTGGACAATACTGTCTTCTGTATTTTGAAATTTAAACCATATATATTTGCACTAAAAATTAAAATAGGGTGTTAGTGTGCTATTAAATGAAATTAGCCAGCTTTAACTGGCACTGCTTTTTCAATTTTTATTTGGCTACAATTTAATTTCATAGTTCATAATCTCCATGAGTTTAGAGCCATCATTAATGTATGCGGAAAAATCAATTATGCAATTCTAATCATGAGACTTAAAACTTGAAAAGAAGGTAAATAATGAGAAATTGAGAATATTAAAAGCCATCTTTTCCAGGGAAGATTTCTACCTGCACTCTCATCAAGAAGAGGTTAAGGTTAATAGAATGAAATTTTAGATTTTGTTTGCAGATATCATAGCACTCCCATTATGAGCAAAGTAGATTATTGTGTGGGAGGAATCATTTTGGTCATCTGATGCAATCTAGCCCCGGGTTGTACAAGTAGTCAAGTAGATTCACAAGGACAAATCCATTAACATAACAGAGACCAAAAAAATTCACAGAAGTTGTGGTAATGCATTCGTAAAATCATAAAATACTCACACGTGTTCATCATTCTGCTCTGGACCATACAAGAGTTCTTCAATTGAACCATGCAAAGCAGTAAGTCTCATTTGTTTTTCTGAGTATGGAAAGTATATGCTCATATCTGCCCCTGGGGAGACGATATTGAATTTTGGATCAAAGACATCAATGCCATGAACAACTCGATACAGCCCTGGAAGAGTGAAAGCTGTGTGGCTCTCGTACTGTCCGACATGATTCTTGCTGAGACATATAACAAGAATGTTGAGCCACTCATCTATTAAGATAAGAACTAAACTAGCAACTCTGCAGCAGAATAAAATTGGGCGAGCATCTAATAATCATCTTCAAACTCATGGAAGATGGTTTAGTAAAAATAAATTAACCATGTCATGATACTAAATGCATGTGGATTGGGCCAATTTGTAAAATATAAAATTTTCTACAAGGTAGACTAACCACCACAATAAAAATACAATAAATGTATTACATCTCTTTAATGCGACTGCTCAATGAGATAATGTATGAAAAGAAGGATTAAGGCCAACAGCATGTCATGCTAGAATGGCAACCATGAGCTTGAGCTTGAGCTTGAGCTTGAGCTTAACCCACCCCCAGGAAAGTTAAAAACAATAACAGGAAGAGAGAGAGAGAGAGAGAGAGAGAGACTTAAGCATGACACGCGAAACTTGTATATTATGAAAGAAAAGAAGACAGACTTGAACATTTTCAGGAGAAAAAAAAAAACTATGGAAATACTTTTAGATGAACAATGCACGGACACTCTACATTTAAATGAACTTCAATATATGCAGATGCTATTGGTAACATAGACAATGAGATGTTTCATGAAGAAGCCGTGAATCTAAAACCCCATCAATACTAGAGGCAATTAGTTGGACAAATCCACAATGGTTAAACAAGAGAGATAGAGAGACAGAAGATCACCAACAGAACAGATTCCAAGGTTAATGGAGGAGAGTTCAGAAGGGAAGACATGATTGAGTACTTAGACCTCTAGAAGCCTACTAATTCTTGTCAAGTTAATGCCAATAGAATCACCAACGCCTGTGGCCTAGTGGTATCTCCTTTCCTTTCAATCTGAAAGGTAGAGGGTCTGAGTCTCCCCAAGTGCACTGTGGGAGTTAGTTGCCAGGGAAAAAAAAAAAGCCAATAGAATCGAGATGTTTGAAACCTTATGGTGAAAAGAACGATCAAGATATCACACCAAATTAATACTCACTGTACAAATAAAATAATTGGACTACAAGAACTAAATAGAATATAATTCACCCAAAATCCAGAGAACATAAAGATTATTAATAGAATTATACCTAACTGTACTCATAATACTGCAATCAATATAACTTGCACTATAAATTTATATTATAACTTCTTTCTTTTGGTACATAATTGCAGCATACAAAATGCAAATCATACATGCATAGTTCAACTCAGAAGGAAAGAGGTAAAAAACACATCAGGAGATAATTTTTTAGACTTCTTTTTTTTGTCAATAAAAGGACTTACCTTCCTGCAATCTCTTGGTATGTACTGGTGATAATAAAATCGGCATTATTCATTGAGATGAGATCAGCAGTAAATTGGCTAGAGAAATGGTACTTGTCCTCGTATTTTCTCCAGTATAAATCAGAATCTGGATACTTCGTTTTTTCCAAAGCATGAGCAATATTGCACTGCTCATACAAAGAAAGTTTTTCAAAGACCCCAAAAAAAAAACATAAAAATAAAAAATAAAAATAAAAACGACACAAACCTGAGTGATCCCCAGTTTATTGGACAATAAGGAAGCAACAAGATTCCCATCAGTGTAGTTGCCAATGATCAGGTCTGGAACACCCTGTAACTCAGCAGCAATCTCGTTTGATGCATCCTAATTAGAGTAAGCATCAGTTAAACAATATTCTCAGAACAAGTGACATAGATATAATTTTAATGCTGTATACATGGTCCACAAAATGATCCAATAGAACTCTAATACACAAACAGCCATGAGTATCTCATCAGCAGCAATCTCATCTTTCTTCCATCAAAGTGACTGAATCGAGAAGTTATATAACATCTGAATTAGATAAGGAAGCTGTATAACATTGAAATTCTGTATTTCACCGAAGGAATTTAGAGAGTGAAGTTTTCTGCAACTTTAGTATAGAGATATGGTGGTAGCAAGAATTTCTTCACCCCATATGTGAATTCACAAAAGAAACTGGTGGACATCTGTAATATTCACCTGAGAAGAGTCATTAAATCAGATCTGAGACCCTCTTCACATGGTTGATATTTATGCTTCATCCACAGAGAGGATAAGAGGTGTAGACCAACTTAGGGAGTCTCTAATACAGCTTTGGCTGATATCAGTTTCCAAAGTTCTATGATTAATATCTCACACAGGAAGATATTTAAGATTGTATATATTTGTTAGGAGAAGGGTGTTAGGGACTGTAAATATTTATTGATGTAGTAAGGAGCAGTCATAGTCATGTCCCTAGTAATGGTTGTAGGCAAAGGGCAACATAAGGATTGTAACCCTGCTCTTTATTAGTGAATGCTGAATAATACAAGGTAAACTCCCTCAGACCTAAGGGCTGCAAGGTAAGAAACTAGCTTTTCCAACTGATATGTCCTACATATAAAATATGCAATATGTTTTATGTACTCTCATTCTGAATGGAATAATGGATAGATATACATACATACATATACATATACATATACATATACATATACATATATATATGTGTGTGTAATGCTAGTGGAAGGGGAAGGGGGAAGGCCAAATTAACATGGATAAAGTTTGTATGGAAAGATGTGGTAACATGTGGTTCGAATGAGGCTATGGCCTTAGATAGAGCATAACGGAAAAATAGGATTCATGTAGTAACCCCAAGTAGATGGGGGAAATGGCTTTGTTAAGTTGAATTGAGGATATTTGGTGATGATATTAATTAACAAATTTTGCATTGTTTAAATCAGAATTAACTAGAGCTACACAAAAACTTTTCGAACTTCCTACGGAATCTAATTCATCAAGAAAAACAAAGAACAATTCAATTTGATTCACATGAAGGCCAGAAGTAAGTACTCAATCAAGCATTCAAACATAGCATATAAAAATCGGGGAGGAGAAAGAAATATGAAAGTTTGATTGTTAGCCCTAATTTACCTCCGCAAAAGTCTCCAGATATGGCCACACATCAAACCTTGAAATCCACTTGCAGAGAATTCCTTTTTTGTTTCTAAAAGGCACCCGCAGAATATGTGTGTGCTCTGTTCCACTGATTCTTTCCAGTCTTTGATTGCATGATGTACCTTTTGCATCAGGTATAAGCCGGGTTACCTTAAACCACCATTTTAAGTTTGGAAAAATTAGATATAAAGCCAAATTGGGAATCGATGCTAATACAGGTGAATGGAGAAGAGGAAAAAACTAAATATTGTTTGAATTGAGTTTAGTACAAAAAATATCAAGGACACTTACAATAAGAATTTTGGGGATGACATCCAGTCCTTGATTTTGTATTCTAAGAAGCATCTCATTCTCCAATGCACGCACTTGATCAAGTATATAAACAACCTGTTCATTAATAGTCAACCATACAATTATTCCTGGCATCAGCAAAGAAGTATTCATACCCAAACGCTGTACTTTTGACCACAGAGAACAAAAGCATAACTACCAAAAGGACCAACACAATGAAAGACAATGAAGTGAACAGTGACTGCATTAGGTAACATAAGACCACATATATATAGATAACATTTATCATGACAATACCTGCCCACCAGTGTCAGGCAAACCTAACACATTTGCTTGGCCAAAGTATCCATGCGGAGACAAAATCACAACATTAAACACCATCGGGATCCTCCCAAGGAATGTTTCCAAGGTAGAAGGATCAGGAGCCTGAAGGATGTCCAAAAGCAGATGCACCATGTCTGAGACCCGCCGAGCTGTGTCACCCCAACCTTTCTCAAAACCCAATCCTTGGAGTCTTCACAACAAAAAAAAAGTGAATATGTTTGTCATCAATACTCTGAAGGTTACAAAAGTAAAAGCCAAGCATTTCACTCCCTGCAGGAAGCAAATATTGAAAGCATAAAACAGAGAGTTGCTTACACATATTCAAAATCAGAATATGGCGCATCTGGAAGAAGCTTAGAAAGATATTCCTCTGCCCTTGCCAAAGCAAACTGAAGTCCAGATATCGTTTGTATCCGATCATTCAGCATCATCGCCTACAAAAAATATATGCAAAATCAGAATCATATGACTTTCAAATTCCTGCAAGTTCAAGGAACCTTATGTTCTTATTTAGTTTTTTATGGATGTTATGGATCAAATCGACAAACCTGTTCAAAAGCTACAACTAAATCAAAATGCAAGATAAATGCCAGCTACAGAGATGATAATGACTTTTGAAAAGTAATAATTAAGGAAAATGGAGTTCAGTAAAATAACTAAATGAAGCTATCTACTAGAAATCAATTAGTTAAGCATCACAGCTTCGTTGTTGACACCATCATCATACTCACCTTTATCCCATATGAATAGATCAGCCACATGAATTCTCTATTTCCATTCTTTTCTATTACAAGCAATTAGTTAAGCATCACATGACAAGGGAATGATTGCTCAATAAAAGTCACTAATTAAGCAGACTTACATGTCCATCATGCTTATGTGTGCGAAGAAAATCAAGCAAAGGCTCCAAACTATCTTTGTTACGAAACATAACTGAAGATAGTTGACGGTTGAGGAATTGAACCCCATTGCCAATGGATGACGAACGCGTTGGTCGAGGAAATGTTGCATTGAACGGCTCAAAATCAAGTTCAAGCACAAAATTTTCATTGTACCTAAAACAGATTTGAAGTTCCAAATTTCAATTAAATTTGTGCCAGAACGAAGAAGAGTTTATCAAAAATCAAGTCATGTATGCATCTTTTGCAGTTTCACTTATCAAATGAGAAGATTAGGATATTCACGATGATGAAACAACTTTTAGAATCCAAGTGTGGTTCCTTACTGTCCATCCACAAGTTCTTCTTTGAAACGAAGATATTCAGGAACACTTAGTTGATCCACACTAAGTTCATAAACATTAACACGAATGTATTCCCAAACACCAGGACGTGGACGAATTGCTATGGCAACAAATGGGGGCAGAACTATAGCTTCCTGCAAGTACAACAAAATAATTAGAAAAAGGAAATAGGATAGAAGAGAATTTTACATTGGCATTCAATTAGGATGTTTGGGCATCCCACTAAAAGTAAGTAGTTCTATTATTTTACAAGGATTTCGAACAATCAACTGAGAAGTGTTCTACTAAGAGGCATTAAAATCATCAAAACAAGCACAAAAATGAGGTAAACTGTTGATGACCAAATTGCCCTTACTTGAACAAGCAATAAGAAATAAATGAACTCTACAAGCAATAAGAAATAAATGAACTCTTTCTTTTGTTGGCACATTAATGCACTCAGTTAAGTGCTATTAAAAACATGATACATTCATTCCAACCCTTTGTGAAGGGCTCATCTCAGAGTATGAAGAGGTCAACTCTCAAATATAAAAACGGAATTCACACATTACATTCAGAATGGATAAATCAAAATTCAAATTAAAGAGTTAAACCATTCTAAAACTACATCCAGGTTATAAGGAACCCTCATGAATGTAAATGAAAAGGCAGTGTAGTTTTCTTATATGGATCAAGTGGGAAAAAGAAAAAGGCCTATGTGGGTTGGGTTCCTTGGTTACTGAAGAAAGAAAAGAACAACTATAAGACTACAGTGGTGATATAGTATTGATCACAAGATCCAGAGGCCACAATGAGAATTGAAATCATAATGTCAGTCCATCCTAAATTCATCCAACTAATCCTTTCCTTTTCCTTAAAAAGAATGAGGCAAGAAATGAAGAAGGCTTCTCTAACTAGAGAAGTATAGCATTTTGTCAGTTCAATTACCAGTTCAATCAACCACCATAGATCCAGGTTGCATGCACAAATTAGAAGTGGATAAATGGATTATTGCACCAGGTAGATACCAAAATATATTTAATTATTTATTTGTTTAGTTAGAGTTTATAATGATTTTTGAAGTCCTTTAAATAAGGAAAAAGCAACTTCTATTTTTTTTTTTTCCGCTTTTGCTTAAAATAATTTTTTGGTAGCTATCTTATTAAAAGTGGTTTTAATCCTAAATTATTTTTTCCATGGGCCTGTCAAGATTGTTATTTAAAGATAAAAGAACGATAGAGTGGATATATATGTGCATGCATAGGTTAAGAATATGGATACATAGGTATGAATGTGTGTGATATGTGCATGCATAGGTGAAAAATATGCATATATAGGTATGAACGTGTGTGAAATCAAATAATAGCATTAGTACTGAGTACATGTAGAGGTGTATATGTGACCACAGGTATACACGTAAACATTTATAGATATGAATATGATTACACAAGAACATATAAAGTATATAGGCATGTATGGAAAGCCTTTAGAGGTAGGTATTAGTATATGGGGATATCAAAAGCGACATGCCGTGCGTATATAGGTCTATAGGTGCTCATATATACACCTGCAAGTTCGTAAAGGATCGTTAGCTAGTGTGGTCCCCGTTAATCGAGGGTGCTGGGAGGGACATAAACGCATGCAACAACATATAGGTGCTTATACAGATACATAGGAATCCACACAAACACAAGTCTAATTAAACAGATGCATTCATATGTATGCACTATGTGGGTGTATACATAAGGAAATAACTAATAAATCCAATAAAGCAAGTGTTTAGCTTATAACCTATCAAAATAAAAAGTGTTTTGCTTATAATAGGAAAAAAGAATTTTGCTTTTAGGAAAAATAAGCAAAAGAATACTTGAAGAAACTATTTAATAGGAGTAGTGGTATTCCAATTCTAGACTGTTATGAACAATTGACACCAACAATCACCAACATTTCATTATTTGTAGTGTCTTCTAAACAAGATTTTATTTCTTTCGACGGAGGAGTACTTTTTTTTTCCTTTTTCTTTTTTTGTAAGACAGAAACGTTCACCCAAAAATGCTTCATGCAGATGATCCTTTAGAAATTTATAACCAACTCATTCGATTTCAATGCATGACTCGAGACCTTAATTTGCTCCAATTACCCACAACAACTAGAGATTAATGATCACCTGTGCAGATTTCAAAATTTGGCTAAAGGGACCATCTTTGAGCTCCTGTATTCCTTGGTGGTCTTCCCCAACAACATTGTCTAGCTCGTCTATCAGGTGATGAGGCTGTAAAATCCCCTTTCCTTGAGCCACATACCTGCAAGAAAACAGAGCCCCAACATTTCAAAAACCCTAATTCCTAAAATCTAAACAAAACAACACTCCAAAATCAATCCAAACAAAAATTCCAAATATATATATATATATATATATATAGCTAGACGAACCTGGAGAAGAGAGAAACGAGCTCGTTCCGGTGAGCAGAGAGGGTTTCCTGAACCCTGTCCCTCGTGCTTGGTGGTCCATAAATTCTACGGTGCGGCATTATGAGAATCAAATTAACTTAGACAACTCTTATTAGTTGTTGCAATTGAAGATGAAACTGATGCAAATGCAATAGAAAATACAGAAGAGAGAAAACAAGAGAGAGTGTGTGAAGGTGGAGTGATACATATGTATGTATATATATTACAGTGCGAGTATGAGAAAGCAGATGTGGCGCAATGAATGTGAATGGTGTGGAAGGCGACAAAAAGAGGAGAGAAACGGCCATTGTTGTTGCATGCAAAAGCAGAGCTGTGTGATAATCGGTGGATCGAAAGGTGTGAAACCTCTCTTTCTTTTGGATCTTTCAAATCTGAATCAGTGGGTGCTAATAAGCCAATCATCTACCCTGCTAGTAATTTGAGACGGTTTGGCGCCAACCCTTTCGTTTTGTGGAGGCTGTATATACACGCGACAAATGACAAGGCATGGATATGTTCATATATATATATATATATATATATATATGGTAAAACAATAGGGCATACGCGATAGAAAATAATAAGAATAAGAATAAGAATGTTAAACAAAGAAAATAAAACTATTTAAAAAAATATTATTATATTTTGTCTCTTATAAAAATAAGAAAAAATTTAGTATAATAAATTTTTATTAAAAGGTATAACTTTTCCGGCCATTTCCTCGCATTTTGGGAAGATAACATTTAACAAAACAACTCATCAAGATTTATTTATTCTCCCAAAATTTTTCATTTTTTTATTTTTTTTTTTTTAATATGAAGTATACAAAAATAACGGAAATAATTCTTTTATTCCGTAAGTAATTTTATATTTTGCAGTTGTGTCTTTATTATTTAAATAAAGACATATATGACTATTGACATCTTCTCTATCCCCTAAAATAGATGGTAAGAATTTCAGTCTCCAAAAAATGTGAATTTCTTGTCAATAAAAATATATATATGTATATATTCATCAAACTTCCTGAGTAACAAACGCCTTGGGGCATAGTCTCTTATATTGCAGTATTTTTTTTATTTTTTTCCTATATTGCAGTATTAAAAAATTGTTCTATTTTAGTTTGGACATTTGTCCATAAAAGGAAATAATTCCTTTATTATTCCCAACTGTATTTAATGAAAAGTTTTTCATTGTATATACAAAAAGGATTCGATAAAAAGTTTGGATGATGTTGGGTTTGTCTAGGATAATTTCGGTTCTACACTTTTTCAGTTATTCGTCAATTTTGCACTTCTGGTTGGTGTTTACGGCACAAATGTCAAATACTACGCGATGCTTAATTTAATACATGCAGTGCCCTCAGAAACCTCAACAACAAATAAATTTACCTATTATTTAAGATGATTAGTCCATAAAACAAATTTCTATTTGCTTAAAACAATTTTATACTCCTTTTGCCGAGAGTGTATTAAGCTGGTATGGATCATCTACTATTTATCCAATCTGGTTCATTCATATTGCCCATTTAGAAAATGCTCTGCTTTTAAGTTCCCTTGTTTATTTCTTTGTTTTATACATGCAAACTACAGCAGCCCTTTTTTTTTTTTGCAACTTGACTAGTCCGGGTGAGAAAATTTGCTAGACCTAGTTTGTAACATGATACCATATGCATAGTGAAAGTTTCAATCGAATGGGACGGAAAGACTTCTCATTCATTAGATAATGCGCGTAAGACTCAAATATGGGTCTCATTTTCTCCATTTAGTGAATGAGGAGCTATTCGGTTGAAACTTTCACTATAATAATCATTTTCCTAAAAATAATAAAATCTTACTCTCGACAAACATCTGAAAACTTTATGATTGGAACAATTAATGTTGTAAATGATGAACCCAGCCAGCACATTCAGATAGGGAAAGAGAGCTGAAATCAACATATATTTATTTAAGAAGTGATTGAGTTTCTAGTATATTTGATTGATCAGTTAGCAGTGATCCCTTTCTTCGCATCCCAATTTTGGTTTAAAGGTGGTAGTAATTAGTGCTACTTTGGTTTCTTGCATGTCATAAGAAGAGTTTAGAAAGGTCTAATTTCTGCAAAGAAAACGGTACCGGGTTTTTTTTTTTTTTGCGCTTTTACCCTAAAAAGACAGTTTTCATCTCATCCAAATTCGATTATTTTGCACAAAGTAATATATAAGTGAACTCAGTACTGGAAATATTCCTCTGTGATCTTAAGTCATCTTTCATTCAAATTCAATTACTTTATGTATGTCTGATTCAAATTTTGATTGCTTGATATTATGTTAACTTCCATATGCTTTAAAAACTGAAGTTATTAGAGACGGTGTAATTAACTTAAATATTGAAATCTGTTACCAAAACAGAACATCCACAGTCGTCCTACTAGAACAGAAATGTGTGTGTGTGTGTATAGATATATATATATATTCAAGATATACTTAAAAACAGGTTTTAGATTCATGATACTAGAGGAACACACACGTTTGTAGTACATAATACAAGGGCTAGAGATGCACAGGTACTTCCACAGTACAAGTAGATCCACAGGTACTTCCACAGTACAAGTAGATCAGCAAAACTACTCCCAATTTATTGGTATCTACTACTACTACTAGAGAACCATGATTAGTACGAAGGAGAGTACTTCACTAAGCCTTGTTGAGTGGTTTGTTCTTGCTCATCTCTCTTTGATCTTTTATCACAACCCCACCATACCTTTTCGCTGCCTGTTCGTGGTCGATAATACCGCCCTTGCTCTTCCACTTGCCATCATCTTTAATCACCACACCACCATATCGTTGTGCTGCCTGCTTGTGATTAATAACAGCTTTTTTCACCTGAGGAACTAATCCCGACTGTCTTTGAGTTTCTGGTGGTGGTGGTGGTGGACCTGGTGGTGGTGGTGGTGGAGGAGGACCACCCATCTTAGTTGGCACACCAGCAAAGCCTTCAAATCCAATCTTCCTTACATGTGCTTTACCACTTGCCATATATATATATATATAGCACTCAAATAGTATTTGCTTTTTGTTGCTTCCTGGTCTAAAAACTACAACCTGAAAGCCCTTTATATAGTAGTAATTAATTATATAGATAAGAACCCTTCAATTGCATGGCATTGATGCTTTTGCTTAAACTAATTCACAGTCCAAAAGCAGTTATCATTCAACTAATATGATAACGTAATCGAATGGATAACTGATAACGTAATCATGATAGAATCTAAACCATGCGTGAATTGTCACCCATTTTTTACGGATGCCATTCCCGTCAAAAAAGAAAATGTACGCTAACTATAGACTTTACAGCCCTTCACTTTGAAAGAATATTCCCCAAATCGTCTCAAATCTTGCATATTCCAAAGATATGAACGAATGATCGATGGCTTAAAACTTTCCAAGATTGCTTATTGTCGTAATTTCTTAAGGCTATGTTTGGTATGGTGGGTTTGAAGGAGGAGAATAACATTAGTTATGAGGGGAGGGGAAGGTAATTTTAACCCCCGTCGTGTTTAGTTAGTTAATGAAGGAAAAGAAACAAAAGGATAATGATTATGTTTAGAAAAAAAAAGGAAAACAAAGTATTATACCCTTTTATATTTTAAAAGAAAAATTTATAAATTTAAGTATGTAATATTTGCCAAAAAAAAAAAACGTATGTAATATACCTATAATATTTTTAGGGCAAATCATTTTAGCCTCCCCGCCTCCATCTCTATTCTTGTTCTTTCTCTCTGCAAGTCTCTCTCTTTCAAAATCTACAAGAATCAGAAGTTCCAAACCCATATATTTTAGTTTATCTATCTGTCTGCAATTCAAGACCCATATCTTTCAGTTTCCATCGCCCGCTGTTCCAATTCGGGTTCGTCGTTTCCATCGCCGGATGTTCCAATTTGGGTTCGCCGTTCGCAAGTTTCAGCCGCTGGCCTGCTGTAACCTTGCCACCCCCTCTCTCTCTCTCCAACTGCTAACTTGTATGTATGAGTTTTGTTTTAATTTTTTTTCATCAAGGTCTGTAATTCTTGTTTTGCAAACTAAATCATTGATTTTGTGTGGGTAAATTTGGCGTCAGAAATTATAGCATGAATTTTGGCGCCTTTGTTCCCGCGCTGAATACATGTCCGCCTTTGTTCCCGCACTGAATACATGCCCTAATATCAACTATAATCTTGAGGATAAAATTGGCATAACAACTTCTCCATCAGCCATTGTTTTCTCTTTCTTTCCATTTCCTCCCATTTTTGGGAGGATAAGCAAATTATTGTACAAAGCTATACTTAACCCTCCAAAGCCTTCCCTCTCGTTTCATTTCCTTCCACACATTTTACCCAAACACAATTTTTTAATCACCCTCCATCACCTTCCCTTCCCTTTCCTTCCATTTCCACTCTACCAAACTGAGCCTAACACTAATCTACAGTACAGAAGAAAGAGATATGAAAAGAATATCTAATCATGTGAAAAATGTTGAGGGAAAGCTCATCATAAACTAACACTAATTTTTATGATCTAAATATCTAAGTTGGTACTTGTTATCCTTTAACTAGCAGGTGAAGTGTAAAAAACATTCCTCTAGTTTGAAAATTGTGCAAAAAAAATGCCTCTATTGTATGAAAAATGTGCAGTTTACCCTCGTTGTTCAATGACCACCTAGGTTGTATATGAGCCTGTTTGGAATTGCTTTTCTAACTCAGTTTTTACCTTCTTGGTCTAAAAACTGTTTTGGGCAGTGTTTGATTAATTTTTTTAGAACAACTTTGGGTTCTTGGAAAAGCGTTTTGGAAAAGTTGGTTGATCCTGCTACTCTTCTATCTCTACCCAAACATTTTGCGTCTTACATATATTTTCCCTAAATTTTGTTTCAGTGATCTTTCTTGGAACCAACTCTGTCTCTCCACTTAATCCATAGACCTCCTCTTACACCATGTAGTAGTCATACCTTGCTCAGATGGGTTTGTTCTTCTTCTTTAATTTCTCTCTCTACCCATTAACCTTAATCTTCTCTACTTTCTCCCACTGTCAACCTTCTCCCCCCTCTCAATTTCCTTCTTTTCACGTTAGTTAGTCGCTTTCCTATCAGTGCTTTTTCATATGGATTTTCAGTTTTGTTGGTCCTTTGACAGTTCAGAATCAAAACATGCATTACCTTTTAGAACAGTAAAAGTTTCGAATTTTTATGAGAATTGTGGTCTGATCGTCTGTTGCTCTTCATTGTCAATTGCTCTTCGTTGGTTAGCAAGAACTAGCTAGAAAGGAAAAGAAAAGAAAAAAAATTAAAATTTGAATGTGTTTGGTTAGATGGAAAGTGAAAACTTTGGAAAAAGTAGGATTCTCGCATATTGTGAATTTTTCCAAAAAAATTTCTGTACGGGTTCGTTTGGTTAGCAAGAACTAGTTAGAAAGGAAAAGAAAAGGAAAAAATTTAAAATTTGAATGCGTTTGGTTAGATGGAAAGTGAAAACT